GCGCACTTTGACTGGCTGCATCTGTACAATTGCTTGCATTAAGAATTTGTCTTTTCGTATACCCCACTTGCTCTCCATGAGACACATAGACAGGGAGAGAAGCTTGGGGTCAAAGAACTGGGTTAAACATTGTACAGCACCCCTGGAGCAGCTGGGGTTAAGGGCTGTTTAGGAGCCCAATAGGGTAGAATTCCTCTGCCGGCCACGGGATTTAAACCAGCAACCTTCTAGCCACAGGTACAGATCCTTAGCCACAGAGCCACCATGCCACCCTAAGTACAGACTTTAGAAGTACAGATTTTCATCTTATATATATTTTTATACTTACTACCTGATAGCTTTTTGTCTTGCTGAAGGGTTGGAGGGAGAGACATTTCAGTATTAACAGGTTAGTGCTGTTCAGACAGTACACATTTGCATATGTTTCTACATAGATTTAGCTAATTGTGACATTGTGTTCATTTCCTCAAATGGTTTATGTGTAACAGTATTCCTAATGCATACAGGATCATTCCTTCACTTTTGAAAATAATGCATTTAAATTCTCATCCTCCCATAACAAGTTCACCAAACATGTATTATCTTTTCACATCTCACTCGAACCTAATTTGTAGCTAGACTTCAAAAGCTAATCACACAATGGCAAACAGTTTCAGTAAGCACTAAATCATTAGGTAAATTACAGTGAATTTATATGTATTCATGATTTTTCTTTCTCTTTACATCTGTCATATCTTATGTAATTTGCTTTATTGAAGTACAGTATGTTGCAACTTGCTGACTTGTGCTTCTGCATTCTCAGGGTGAAATGTAGTAGTTTAGTATATAATATATGAGTGCTAAAACATCACTGATGGAATAACTGGAACACATACAGTACAAGCTGGTATACTTGAAAAAGATGTACACACTCTTAAGATTCTATGATTTTACATATTTAGACATACAGTATCTGACTTTCATGTAGTCCTCTCCAAATCCTAAAAGTAGATAAATATAACCTTATGTGACCATTTTAAATTATTTTAATTTTACTTTATGCATTATTTATTAAACAAAAAAACATCCAGCATTCACTACCCTCGTGTGAAAAAGTGCACCCCATGATTCAGTAATGCTTGGAACCCTGGCTTAACTTAATAACCTAATAACTTAAAGTAAATTATTCATGTAAGGGTTTAACTGTCTCTCACATTACCTAGGAAAAATTCTTGCCCACTCCTTCTTACAAATGGTGGTGTTTGAGGGCATTCATTTATGCACAACTTCCTTTAGGTCCAAAGATCTGGACTTTGACTTGACCATTTCAAGATCCTGATTCTTTCCTTTTTTCAACCATTTTACCATTTCAGACAAGGCTTCTGAATATTGACTTATTAATCTTTTTAATAACAATGGCAAAATAAAATCTGTGTAATTTGTCACATGAGGTTAAATGTATCTACTCTTAGGACTTGGTGAGGACTACAGTAGGTGAATGTGTGTACTTTCTTTTTCACATCACTATATATCTAACAATGCTTGAATGTTTCATGTGATAGACTGATTCTAAATAGAATGAAAATAACAGTTTTGTTAGCAAATAGGTCATATTGAAAAAAGCCAGAATAAGTTTCTTCATAGAGCTATTTTTTATCTGAATGTACATTCACGCTGTACTCATTTCCAATTATATTTTGTAGCATAGTTTATAAAACATTTGGGTTTTGTTTACAAAACAGTAGAAGATTAATTTGTAGTCCACATGTCCAAAACCATGTTTTATCACTGAAAATGACACATAAAATGCCAGCCCCAGGGTGTACAGGTAGGAGCTGGGTGAGAAAAAATATCAATATAATGAAGTTCTGATGCTGATGAACCAAAAAGAAAGCCAGCATATTTTTTGTCTTGTCGGAAGATTGCTGATTTATTCCATGTCTCCACAAACATCTGTGTACATCTGGGGAAATGATGCAACAATGTCTTATATCTGCTTGTGGACTGACCCACTATTCTTCTTCTCCATATCTTTAGTCATCATTCTTGCTGGTGGAACGATCCACTATCCTTCTGCTTTAAGACTTTAGTGGACTAGAATGGTATTTATACTGAGTCCCAGAAAAAGAACAGTCTAGTTTCCATTGGAAACTGTTTCTTACATTTTGGTAGTGTCATTGCACACCTTGCAGGAGTTGTGCCAGTGAAGGTTTTAGGAAATAGAATAAAAAGCAGCAGTTAAGCAGCTGTCTTTGCTTAACAATCTTTGTTTATGTTATTTAACATAACACAAAATTAACTAAAGTTGTTAATGCTTATAGCAAATAAAGGCAAATACGTTTTTAGTATGCTTTGAACTAGACATCATGAAATTCAATATAGGTGAAAATACACTTGATTAGGTAAGTAATCGTGATGTAAGAGTTTATAGCAATACCTTCTACATATTCCTAAAGATTATACAGACATATGCTAAAACATAGTTTCATTAATTGCTTTCTTTCAACACGTGTATGGTTCTGTGAAATGAATTTATTAAGGTTTATTAAAATTACTTATTCATCAGTCATCTTAATTAAGCATCTTCTCATTCAAGAACTACAGATTATATACATGCATTGCAGTACAGTTTGTATTATATAATGGGGACAAAATTTAAATTGTTTTTGATTCTGTATGTGGCATACACCAAAAAACAATTTCTCTGTATAAGCATATTTATTAACTTAATTATGCTATTTTTATAGTTCTGATAATAATATAGCTATTTGATTTGCAGAATACAACTTTGACTCTTTAAAAATGAAACAATATTGATGAAAAGTGGTAGCATTCAGTTTTATTCACAAAAGAAATGTATTCACACACAACAAAAAAGACCGCTTGTTTTTGTTTGCAATCTCACCTGCTGTGGTAATAACCTTTTCACACTACACCATAAAATGCAATCAGAATGCATTGAATTACTTTCATTGTCTTCAAAAAGATTATTTCTGAATTCATTCAGTTATATGGGTATTCAGTTAAAATCCTAAACAAATAAACATTAATGGATATTCACTCATTGGCATGTAGAAATTATTTGATATTTTTTATTACAATAAATGCCACAAATTCAAAATAAATTGTCAGTGATCTAATGTCTATGCAATTCTGTTTTGTAAACATGAACTTAAAATGAGCATGAACCAAAACCAATCAGTGTTTCTGTAGATTTTCATAACAGTGTTAGTTAAAAGCTACAGTATGTCATTTTGTAAGTCATATACAATATGCAAAATGCAAATCAGAATCCTTACAATCAGTTTATAAAGCTTCTTTTTCTGACATCTTCTTCCAATTTTCTAATTAATAAGAAATTCATCTTAACACAAAATATACTTTGAAATTGTAGGTTGTCTTAGCTATGCTTTATTGTTTTGATTTTATCCAGCATTTATCATATTTCCATATATAATTATTTCAAAGGAGGTAAAGGAGTTTATATATGCACATCTACAAAGGTATTACAAAGTTTAATCTTTGTTTATATGCTTAATACTGTATGTGCAATTCTAAATTAAGAGTGTCAAAGGATTATTGATATGTAAATAATAAAAATAAAATCTATTTTTAGAACCACTTAAAAAATCTAAACATATAAGAAGAACAAAATGTATAGTTTTTCTCAAAACCTAGTCATGCTTGAAATCAACATTATATATACTAATAAGAAATGCTATTGAATAGAATTGGAAATGTTGGTACATTTTAATCCACTGAGTACTATTGATTTTATACATTCTGCTGTTAGGTTTTACCTAAACTATCTGATCTGTCAGTAAACCAACCTAAATCATGTTTACAGTGGTAAACAGCAGTCTAATTTCTCCTGGGGTATTGTAAATGAAATGTTCACTTAAAGAAACGTAACATCTGGAGGAATGGGAGTGTACTCACAGGTAGGAGGTAAAGGAGCTAAGGCTTCTGGGCACTGCAGAGAGTCCGAGCTCTGAACAATCCACAATTACCATGATGCCATCTTCTTCACACTGGCACTGATGTGGACACAGAGTGGACATTGTAAGGGCATGCTCCTGTTGTCCACTGACAGTGGTGCTGCTGGCAATCTGGAGAATCAGGCAAATCAGCAACATTTTGCTTTCCTTAGCACTGAGTTTTAAGAATGTATAATATCTCTTTCAGGCACTCTTTTTTCTTTCTTTTTTGTAGCTATCAGTTGGGAGATCCCATGAGTCAGTCAGGCTGAAGGATTTCAGAGTTCCTACTCATGCCAGCCTCCCTCCTTCAGTCTGTCTGCCTTTTTGTCCTAACTTTACAGACCTTTACCTATTGTAGTGGAAGCCTATGTGTTGGAAGAGACCCGCTTCTCATTGGATAGCACAGATTGGGATGGGCCAAAGGGAGGAGTCAGCCTTTACACAGTCTGTTCAGGAGCAAAAGATAATCATTCAGAAGTGAAAGGACTAAGAGTGAGAGAGAGAGAGGCTGTACTCAGTACACTGAGAGCTGATGTAAAGTATGCTTTTATGTGCTATATTCCAGCTAGTTGACTTGTAGCAGGCATAATTTACAGCCACAATGTGAAGATACTCAAGATGAAATACATTTACTCAATGTGTATACTGTTTCATACTAGCAAATACTTTCTTAATAAAATGGTCATCCATTTATTGTTTACCAATGAGAAAATTTCATTTTGATCTATAAAGAAGAGTACACATGAAAATAATATGGTTATTTGTTTATTGTGGAAAGTCACAACCTCTTTTTAATTCCTGTCACCCCATCCTGCATACTTAATAGTTGCCATGCTTTTTCAGTCCCTTATAATGGATTATTTATTAAATTAAATTCAGTTCTAATCCATTATTTTCTTATGAAATAAATTAGGAATCACTCTTTGCAAAATCCATACACTACAGGAGTCGCTGTTCCCCTGTGCCTGCTAATGTAATACATAAACAGTACTATTTTAAAGATTTTATACTTCCAGTTAGAGTCTTTATTGCTGTCCTAAAGTAATTTTGTATTAGATTATAGCTGAATATTTTTATTATATATTGCAAAGAGTAACAGGTAGCATTTTCACCCCAAAGTATTTAGTCTTATCTGTTGCTCCTCCCATGGTGACATTATGGAACATATTTCTATGTGCTTTTGAGAATTTATGAAAAGAGTTGTCATGCTTTTCCTTTCATTGTTTTCAGACAGGACTCAATGTCTATATTACAGTATATACTGTTCAGTAGATGTATGCATCATGAACTGACAAATAATGCTTATATAAACAGTCCCTTTCTTTAACTATTCGCACCAACACCTTCAATTATACCATCTTCTCTTATGCATTTTAATCTCAGTTAAATACTTTGTAATTGTCTATTCCCCAGAAAATAAATGTACAAAAGAAGCATGTGTGGTTCTTTCTTAAAAAAGTAAGCAAGAAAAAACGAATAAAGCTAAAGGTGCCAGAAGCCCTTAGCTTTAGCTTTGAAGGATTGCAGAATGTAAATCAATTTAAAATGGGAGAATTAGGTGATTGGAAGGCCATATGAGAACAAAGGCAGATTTCAGTGCTGTCACAAAAAGTTGAAAAATACCAACCGGGGCACCTGTTTTCCAGCAATGCTGAAGTGTTGGGTTTCGAGTTCTGTTGCAACTACATGGTCCTGTTGAAAAGGCTCCCCTGAAACTCTGATCAAAGGCTGTCCACTCCCCTCCTCCCATGCTACCTTAAATGCCCCTTTAAACAAGCAACAGCAATCTTAAAGACACAATGGACACACCAGTACCTGAGACTCACCTAAACTCTAATTCACGAAAGGCTATTTGAGCTCCTTCAAGCAGGAACTCAATTCAATTGACTAAAAAAGAAAAGACATAAAGGTTTTGTTGCTTCCCACTAATAAGGAGAGTGCAAGCAACAATTGGGGGAACTGTTTTAGTGCAGACAAAGTGTTAAATGATATTTTACAGGAAATAGTTCCCAGTATACACCACATATACTGTATATACTTTTCACATGAGCCAAAAATCCACAAAAGGTTCTTGATTAAGAATAATCATAAAGCAGGAATAATAGATGAGAGATATAGAGTGATACAAAAAATGCCTTCATTCTCATCCCACACCTTTATTACCTTGTAATGTCAGGGCTTCAACCTAAGAAATGTACTGGAATTGTAAAAGTTATAAAAATGCACTTGGCATTTTGAAAAATTGCTAATTCCTACAAATATTCTATTTTAGTTTTTTTCTTAATTGGCAATGACAATAGAAAATGAGGGAAATTGTTTAAAAAAATTTAAAGTTCATTTTTACTTTCACAGTTTCCATGTGAATGTGTTATGATTCCATGTTTAAAGCTAATAAAGTATTTAGAGGGCAACTTTAGTCATCATTGCTGTGATGTACAGCAGCCATTCTGTACCAGCCACTGCACTATACAGCAGATCAAGTGGCGAAGTGACAAATTACTGTACTTCACCAAGTGAATTAGGAGGGAATTTTATGGGGGCCTGATTGTTCAAGTTTAGAGCAGAATTTTGTTAATACCACTACTCCAACAAAGAATGCCAATGGGATCTTTAATGACTAAATAATTAGTAGTGTATTTTTATAGTGTTTTATTTTATCGTGTATTTAAAACTGTTTTACCCCAACAGATGCAAGCAGGAAATGCTTTCTTGAAACTTCCTTTTATAAGCCTTCTGCATTTCAGTATAAAATCAGTCTTGCTTTTGAAACTCTCTGGGCTTCTCCTTGTACTCACAGCATCTGTAATAATGTATAGTTGAATGTGATTATATCTAGCATGCAAACCTTGATTAGGTGGAATGTTAACACAGACTGATAATATTTTACTGTCTCCATTTAGATGTAACCAACCAGGACCACTGATAAATGAATTACCTTAAAGTCAGAAGAACTGCTGGCAGGACTTTATCAGGACAGACACTAGGATGAAAGATTTTATTATAAATGTGAAAGAAAAGTATTTTCTATTTTAATTCTTCAGAACTGTGAAGCCTCACCATACACCTGATTATGAATATCTACAGTAATACTTTTCTTGGCAGTGTACAGTACACCAGTTCATTGGGCCCAAAAAGCATTCACCTTTCAGCAGTGAGACTATGGCTTTGAGACAGAGGAAAGAAAAGAACAAGAATATACAGTATACGTACAGTTTCAGACAAATTTAATATAGGTATAAAAGTAAACTTCATCAGTAATTCTGAAATCATACTTAACTCCAGAAAGGTAAACGAATTGTCTACAAATATTATAAAAAGTCTAAACAAGCTATGTAAAGGAAATATGTTATGATAGTTATGTTTAATTGGAACTTTATATAAGTTACTGCTGTGAATGGAGCAAACATTTTCCCTTTCAGTTGAGTAGGCCGGAGACACAGAATTAATTATACAAAACTGAATAAGCTTAGACTGGTTAGTCCTTTGCTGATTCCCATCAAATGGAAGATAATTGGTAAATGCTTGGTTAATGACATATCACCAAGGATGTTATATAATTATTTTGTGTATCCAAAGTTTCTTCACACAGAACTGTATTTACAAGGGTAAAATGTGAAACATCTAATGATTTCATGGCTTTGCCAGCAGCCATATCACCCTGCAACTAACAACTAGGAACCCACTGAAGCTAAGCAGGTGTGAGCCTGGTCAGTACCTGTATGGGAGACCTAAACTAAGGTTGCTGCTGGAAGTGGTGTTAGTGAGGCCAACAGGGGGTGCTCACCCTGCAGTCTATGTGGGTCCTAATCCCCCAGTATAGTGATGGGGACACTATACTGTAAAAAGGTGCAGTCCTTAGGATGAGACATAAAACCAGGTCCTGACTCTCTGTGGTCATTCTTGAAAAGAGTAGGGGTGTAACTCCAGCATCCTGGGCAAATTTCCCATTAGCCCTTACTAATCATTTTAAGGCTCCTAATAATACCCTTGTATGAATTGGCTTCATTACTCAGTTCTCCTCCCCACTGATAGCTGATGTGTGGTGATTGTTCTGGTGCACTATGGCTGCCGTCGCATCATCCAGGTGGGTGCTGCACATTGGTGGAGGGTAGTCCCCATTGCATGTAAAGCGCTTTGAGTGGAGTGTCCAGAAAAGCGCTATATAAGTGTAAGCAATTATTATTATTATTATTATTATTATTATTATTTACAGTGCTTATAGAAAGTCTACACCCCCCTTGGACTTTTTCACATTTTATTGTGTTACAGCATAGAATCATGATGTATTTAACTGAGACTTTTTGCCACTCATCAACACAAAGTACTCTATAATGCCAAAGTAAAACAAAAATCCAGACATTTTACTAAATTAACTAAAAATAAAAAACAGAAAAAAAATTGAATGCATAAGTATTCATCCCCTTGCTTTGATACACCTAAATTACCTCTAAAGTAACCAACTCTCTTTCCCAAGTCACATACAGTAATTACTTGACTGGAGTCCACCTGTGTGCAGTTGAGATGTTCCACATGATTTCAGACTAAATACACCTGTGTCTGGGCACTTCCCCACTTAGCTAGTGCATTTCCAAGGAAACACTACACCATGAAGACCAAGGATCTGAGACAAGGGTCTTGAAAAATACCAGTCAGGGCAAGAATATAAGAAAATGTCCAAGGTACTGAATATACCTTGAAGTACAGTGAAGTCCATGGTTGTGTATCTTAGAGCCATTCTTATATTCTTTTGACTGTTTTATTAACTACAAAAATCACACCCTTAGGCCATATATTCCTGCATTCTACTCTCTCGTTCTGTTATCTATGGAAGCCCGTTTCCGCTAGGGAGTAAAAAAAAATATGCTATGGTATCTCAGAATTGCGACTTAGCAACTCAGAATTGCGACTTAGCAACTCAGAATTCCGACGAAGTATCTCAGAATTGCGACTTAGTATCTCAGTTTTTGACATCAAAAACTAAATAATTTGCACTGAATGGCTGTTTGAACTGGAAATTAAATAAATGCAAGGGTGGTCTCTGACTTCTGCAAAGTACTGTACAGTATATTGATATTTTCATGTATAGTAGATATTTTCACTTCATACAGTACCTCCACAATCCGGAATGGACTTTTTCCTTAAACCAGTATCAGCATATTGATCCACATAAAATGATGCTATAAGTATGGTATTTTGAAACTGAAAATTGATAATACACTATTCATTTTTAGATTGATGCCAGTGTCCTGATGTTAATGACAGATGAACAGATTGGCAGTGATGGGATATTGTAGGAGA